TGATTCAACCACATCAGAGGCACTTTATTTCGGGATTTGTTTGGTATTAAAATCCCCTCAATAACTTGTAGTATATGCGCACGAGCAAATCACTTCAAAAAATTAATAAAATAATATAACTACTTAATTTCCAAATAAATAAATAAATAAATTGAAATATTAATAAATATTCATAGATAAAAACATTTATATTTACCTCCATCACTTCATGCTCCGCATTCTGGGATAGGTTCATAAAATTTTCATCCAAAATTTCAATTTTTATTTTTCCACCATCGCGTGCATCATCAAGCGGATAAATTCCAAGCAATACATCACATATGTTTCTAGGGGCGCCGACAACACCAATAATAACTACTCCATCAATAGGAAGTCCCAAATGAAATGCAACATCTTGCAGAGTAATAGTTGCCTCCCCACACGGTAAATGAGACGTATGTCTCTGGTCTCCATCTTTCCACCAACACATTTATAAGTGGAGGATGCAACTTCACACAATCACCAGTTATACTACTGATATATCCGAAACCCGCTAAATGTAAATAGTCAATAATATCCACATCAGGTGATTCACGTGATTTATATGACACTATAATACACGTTCATATCCCTACAAAATATAAATATTTAAATACCAAAATAAATAAACTAAATCAATAAATCAATAAATAGTAAAAATAAAAAATAATATTAATTAATTTACTTCATTATTTCGCTTCCAATAATCAAATACGAGACTTCGAACATGTCTTAATATACTCGCCGTCATGATATGAAATCTTTGAATATACGAAAGGGTGTGGTGATGAATAGGAGTGGATGATCATATTTATATCCCTTCTCGCACATAGGGAATCATGATTTTAAATACAACTCGCGTACTACAAGATGCGAGTTACGTTGAAAACACGCGAAATTTATTCTATTCATAGTATCTTGCGTTTTGCAAAACGCGAGATTACTATCAGATTTTATCTTTTAAATTTTAAAATATATTATAATTATTTTTTTTATAAAATATATATTTTAATTACTATATTTATATATTATTATATTTTAATTATTTATTATGATTAATAATTAATATTATTAATAATTAATATTATATTTATTTATTATATTCATTTAATTTCTACGTTTTAAATTAAGATGTTGAATTCGAAAGAATCTTGCGCTTTGCAAGCTGCGAGATCCTTCATAAATCTCGCGATATTTTGGATCAAAAAAACTACCTCGCGCTTCCCAATGTGTGAGGTCATTTTATCCAATTATTTTATTGGCTTACTTGTAAAGTGCACCCACATCGGATATATCTCGCGTATTGAATGGTACAAAGATTTAACACACAATTTACAAGCCGCAAGGCCGTCCAATATAGACGATTTGAAGATTATTATTCTATATAATATTTGGCGGACTCTATTTCTTTAAATAATTATTATTAGAGGTTTTTAATATAAAATTGTCGTTTTCTTACTAGCTTTGGCCTCTTGTGTACTATTTGGGGGTTTTAATTAGACGTGGATTGATATAAAAGTTTTGGGCTGGGCTTCAGATTCGATCTGGGAGGTTGAATATGAACCGTTTGATACGATCAACTGGAGTCATCAAATCTGGTTTCGGGAAAGAATAAATTCCAAAGGAAAAGGACGTCTTGTTGGAAATTTCATTGGTCTTGGTAAAAAGAAAACAAGAGATAAAATGATTTTGATTCTTGATCATTTTTCTTAATTTTAAATATAATTTTAAATATAACCTTTGAAAATAATTAAATTATTATATTTCCTTTTAAAAATTTCATAATTTGTCTTTGTTGTTATTTTTTGCCTATTAAAAAGTTTAGATTTGTTTGAATAAATTCCTCATTTTATTATTCAAGAAGCAACAAGTACGTTGCTACAAATCAATACAACACAAAATCATAATCTCTAAAAGATTGAATCCCCAAACTATATAGAGATCATAATTATCAGTATCACTCTCGATAACTATCCTGAGCATCTTTGTCATGTCTAATAAATATTACAAAATAATCATTAAATTTTATAGATATTTTAAAATATTATTGTCATTATGTGGAAAAATGATTTTGTGTAAAAATACTTAATTTAATTAGACACGTCTAATAAATTCATTATCAGGTTGTTTACATCATCCAACAGCTTAATATTTATTTTATAATAAAATTTAATTTGATATTCATAGGTTATTTGATAACTATCGAAAAATATGGCGTTATTACTTAAAAAACAAATAAAAATTAATCTTTTGAAATAGTATCTCTCATCAGTCGTTAATCAAATAAATACCTCCTAAAATGTTCATATAAGACTAATACCTCCTAAATTGTCCATGTAAAACTACCTAGCCTTCTACAAAACACAATTAAATGATCTCATTTTTTGCAAAACACGAGATTTAATATTAAACTTGAGAAAAAAAACATCGCGTCATGTAAAATGCAAGAACAACAATAAATTAAATTTATCAGCTATATCAAAACAAATTCACTTTCTAAAAAAAAAACAGTTCCGTTGAGAGCCCAACACATCTAAAAAAATGTACTTCAATCAAATTAGACAAAAATAATAATATAAGGACTAAAGATGTAATTTAATACATTTTAACTCCACAGTGGAAAAACGTGGCAGTTTATATAGGCATAATGGAGAGTTTTAAGACTATGTTTCTTAGTAAGGTGTAATAAATGTTAACATGAATTCTTCTATCTTTTCTTCATGTAATTTTTTATTTATTTTTACTTAACCTATATATGAACTAAAATTAAATATTTTAATAAATTTTTTATTAAAAATTAATTTTTGTTAATATTAAAAATATAAAAAATTTCGTGAAAGTTTGTTAAATTTATGTTAATAAAAATTAACTTTTGATAAAATTTCGATAAATTTTTTCATGAAATTTTATTTTATCCTTAATGTTAATAAAAATTAAATTTTAATAAAAATAAATTTATCAAAATATTTAATTTTAGCTCATATATAATTTAATAATAAAATTTTAATGGATTAAGTAAAAATAAAACTAAAAATTATATGAGAAAAAGATAGAATAACTTAAATTAGCTTTTATCTTAGTTGCTAATATACATAGTCCAAACACTCTACCATGCCTATATAAACTAATACCGTTACACCTTTCAACTTATAGTGTTATTTTTGTCAAATTTAATTAAAATGAGCTTTTAATATGTATTTATGTGGGTTGTCAATGGAACTTGCTTTAGGTAGAAAGTGAGTTCGTTTTGATATAACCTGAGAAGAAATTCAATTTCTTATTGTTCTCGTGTTTTGCATAATATGAGGTATTTTCTCAAATTTAATATTAAACTCCACGTTTTATAAAAAATAAAGTTTGACCTCACGTTTAAAAAAAAATCTATTTAAATGCGTTTTTGTAAAATATGAGGTAAGTTCATATAGATAATTTAAATATAATTTTTTAACTAATGAATGATGGGTATTGTTCCAAAAAAAATAAATTAATTTTTAAAATTTTTAAGTAATATTAAGGTGATTTCATGCAGATATTATAATGTTTACCTATAAAATAATCTTAGGGTGCGTTTGGTTCACGGAATGTAAGATTACCAGTGGAAATAAAAGATTATCAGGGAATAGGATTACTGAGAATGTTGTATTTTTGTTTGGTTGATTTAGTAAGAATGTAAGATTACTGTGTTTGGTTAAAGGAATAAAAGATTATTGAAATGCATATTTGACCAAACTGTCCTTATTATATATTTGTATAATATTACAAGTTGTAAAAAATTTATATATTTTATTTAAAAAATTAAATTCATAATATTTATATAATTTGTTTAGAAAATTAAAATATAAAAAAGTTTAATGAAAGGGTAAAATTTTATTCAACCCCTGAACTTCATATAAAATTTTAATTATAGATTTTTTTTTGTAAATCTAAAATAATTTAAGGATAAATTTATAATTTAACCTTCGTAGAATTTTTATTATTCAATGACATAAGAATGATATTTTTTATAAAAAAATAAAAATTTAAGGACATTTTAGTCCAAAACGCCGGTAATGTTACAATACCTAAGGGAAGGGAAATAATGTCATTCCCGGTAATATACCCAAAAAAATTCACTATTAATAATAAAACATTACCAGGAATGACATTCCCAGCCAAACCAAATAAAAAAATGTAGATTCTATTTTCGAAAAAATCTCACATTCCCCATACAAACGCTCATTATTGTGTATACTTGGTAACGGTAATCTGTCAGCCTGTCACCCTCTTGTACGCATAAAGGGACAGGACACTGCTGCCTTTCCTTTCTCTTGTGGAAAATACCATCGCTAGGGATGAGCAACGAAAAAATCGAAAAACTGATCTAAATCGTATACATAATTTAGTTAGATTTGAGTTTTTTTATTTACATTTCAGTATTGATTTGATTTTAAAAGGTAAATATACAATTTAATTTGATTTTGATTCTTGATATAAAATCGTTTGAATAAATCAAATTAAGTTTAAAATTAAAAAAAAAAAAAAAATCATTTTGAATTGATTATAAAATAAATTTAAATAAATAAAATATTAAAATTAATAATATTTTTTTATAAGTTTAAATTTATATATTTACACTCGATTTAAATTTTTATTTTATTTTTGAAAATTAAATTTCAAAAATAGTAACTAGTCAAATCCGTAAAATCAAACTGAATTGAAAATCATGATTTTTGTACCTTTCAATTTCAATTTTAATTTTAATTTTAATTTTAATTTTAATTTTAAAAACCTCCAAAATACAATTAAATTCATATTATAGTGAAAATAGAGCTGAACCGAATACACCCTACCATCACTTCCCTCCAAGATTTTAAAGCAATGGCTCGAAGTAAGTTGGATTGTTTGTCTTAGAACTGGACTTGTAAGATTCAAGTTGAACCCATTCAAGCCCAAACCCAGAAACTCTTTTTGACTGATAATTTAAATTGAGAAAAAACAATTGATTTAAAGGAAAATCCAACATAAATCGCATACTGCTGAAGCTAAAAGTCTGCGGGAATCTCTCCCTGGTGAAGAAGCCTTTCAACCTGCTCTCTTTGGTGGTGTGTAGGAGGGATATCCAGTAACTCTTCAATCAATGGTATCATTTCAATTTTCCTTTCGATTCGTACTAAATGTCTCGCCAACCAAACATCTCTTTAGGGCTTTTAACTTTTCTGTTTGTTTTTGGTTATAGTAGTGGTCCTAGTGGATGAGTTTTAGTTTAATAATAACAAAAGAGGGATAAATTTAAGTTCCTTTGGATTATTAAGTGGATTAAATTTCTTTTGGGAATCCAATGGATTATAATTTTTTCCTTTCTAATTTTGTAGGCTGATCCTGAACTAGAAGCAATTAGACAAAGAAGGATGCAAGAGCTAATGGCTCGACAAGGGACGGTAATCTATGTCATTTTTCATTTTAATTTCAGCTAATTCTTCCTCTTGAAGAATTCGGAATTGTGCTTGTTTGTGCTTTTACTTTAATGTTACTAATTATAATCTATTGATAAACAGGGGAGTCAACAAAACCCTGAGCAACAGAAAGCTCAGGAAGAGGCCAAGAGGTTAGTTTTTTTTTTTATGTGTATGCGTATTGTTTCTGAATCATTCATGTTGTAGTATTTATCTTGGGATCAAATTAATTCTTTGATTTGACGAGTAAAAGCTATTAATTTAGGGAGGCCGATGAACGGAGGCAAATGATGCTTAGTCAGATTTTGTCCAGTGAAGCTCGCGAAAGACGTAAGCTTGTATATCGATTCATCGTTTGAGTCACTTCAAGAAACCTACTCTAATTGCTTGTTTGCGTGCTAGAATGCCCATTCTATCATCGGATTGCTTGCTATTTCCCATTTTTTTTGGTTTGACTATTCATTTTTAGTTTTGCCTTCTATGTTCATGACATATCAATCTTTGAATTTAATTTACTTGTTTGAAAATGGCTGTGTTATTCGTCATAGTTTGGAAAAGTGAAACTTGTGCTTCAGTGAGCAAGGAGAATTGTGTTCATATAAGAATTTATTTATTTTAGAAAGTCCTATCTTAAGTATGGAGCTCAAAAAATTGTGGGGGGACATATGATTGAAGGTCCTACAATGGAAGATTTTATGATGGACGTGGCTATATTTTGGTTTCCTGAACACCTTGTTTGTCAAAGGCCGAATTTGATCTGTTCTCTTCTTTGGTCTAGGCTCAGCTTCCATTTGAAGTATGTATTGTGTGATTTGTAAATTTAAATAGGTCTTGAAAATCTGAATTTAGTAGGATTTAAGGGTCTCGTTAGGATTGTTTGGGTGGAAGGATTAATTGAGTTATAAAATGATAAGCATGTTATATAGCAGTAGTATGCGAGTTTCTCTTTTTTTTGAAAAAGTCCTACCAATTATGATAAACCCTTTATGCGATTACAGCCCCTTATCACCTTATTGAAATGTTTAAACCAATTATAAACAAGATAACTTTTTTAAGAAAAAAGAGGAGAACAACTTAGTGGCAGGCATAGATGGAGTTAGGGTCATCGCTCAATACTCTTACTGCTCTGTTTCTTACCTTCGTGTAATTCTCGTCTTAATGATGTTCTTTTCTGGTATATCTTGTCCAGTTGCTAGAATTGCCTTGGTAAAACCTGAGAAGGCTAGGGGTGTGGAGGATGTTCTACTTAGAGCTGCTCAGACAGGTCAGATAGTTGAGAAGGTATGCTGAAAAGTTGTGGTCCAACTACAAATTGTTGCCTTCCTAATATTCAATACCACATTTGTTAGTAAGCTTTGATAAAGAACTGATTTGCATACGGTTGAACCCGTGTAAAGGTTTCCGAGGAGAGACTTATATCACTGCTGGAACAGATAAACACCCAAACAACTAAACGGACCAAAGTCACGGTAAGTTGATTTTATGCATTGCCGACTTGCCTTTTGTTTAATTTATGCAGCCCACAGAACTATATTTGATGTGGTATTTTGGTGCCATTGTTTATCTGGTTTTGCAGATCCAGAGGCGCCGGAGCGTTCTTGATGACGATGACTAGTTCAAACTCTAAATGTGAAATCTTCTGCTTCATTCGTAGACCCCATTTTCAATGGATTTGTATTTTCAAACTGTATTTACTTTGCAAGCCGTATTAATGCTATCCTGAGCAATAAAGCTGGTGTGTAAGTTGAAATATTATTGAGGCTGAGATTGAGGTTTGCCAAGTGATGCATTATGTCTATCATGATATGGTTTAGGATAAATAACACCCTTGATCACTTAATTATAGATACTCTAATTTGAACATTGATCTTTTAATAGGAAAATTCAAGTTGGCATTGGGAGTTAAATAATGATGTTGAAAGCATACCTAATCCCTGTATACTATTCAATCCTACAATTCCAATTGTAGGATTGACCTTAGATTGGAAAATAATATGGCGAGAGGGAATATTCCCCCCAACTAATCTAGATGAGCAATGATGCCTTACAATTGGTTTAGTTTGGAATAACGTTTCACTTTTGTCGTAACCGTCCCTCGAGTGGGCATGAAGTCGGGTTTCAACTTCAATTGATCTGTGTAGAGTTGCCATCGATCAAAACTTAGGTTGACCGCACACCTTAACTTACTATTTATCTTATCCGTGTTTTACCAGAAAGTAATTAGATTCGAGAGTCGATTACCATCAAGGAAAGATTAGCACCCTTGTACTACCTTTTCAGTACCAATTTGATTTTTCGGTTTTCTTAATTTTCTTAATTACGAAAATTAAAAGTTAAATTAAGATTTAAGAGTTCGATCCGAATTATTTACATTTGGACAATTAAAATTGTCCTAAAAAATCAAATTAATGTTAAAGAATAAAATAAAAAATAAAAAATATTAAATTAAGAGAAATATTAAAGAAGGATTAAATTGGAAAACATTTGAAATTAAGGGTCAAATTGAAGTTAATTGGAAGATGCAAGGAGAAAAATAAAAGTTAAGGGGTCAATTTGCGAAATATAAGAAATATAAACAGGGATTAAATTGAATAAATTCAAAATTCAAGGGTAAATCTACAACAGACGACTAAAATGAATTACACATAAGAATTAGAGAGACTGCGAAAATAATTAAAATATTTGCTATTTACCCTTCGGTCCCCCTCCCTATAAATAGTCGAAAGTTCCAAAAAAAAAATCATTTCATCCCCATTTCTAAAATATCACTCTTCCCAACTAAAAAAATCCTCTCAACCCAAACCCCCAATCGACCTATGGACGACCACATCCTCGTCGCCCGGTCCACAACCGACCGTCGTTCCAACCACCACCATCGGTGGTCGAAAAAGTACAAACCTACCAAAATGTTCATCTATATACCCTAAAACCAAATCTAGCCCCTAATTCTCCAAAATCAACCCCGAAAGGAGTAGATCTAAAAAAAAGAAACTCTCGGTTGTTACCTTTTCTGATGATGCATTTTCAACTCACGGTGTCTTTTCCTCTTCCGACGAGGCTTCGATGCGTTTCTGGCGTTCTTTGGCGAGACAAAGCCTTACACTTTGTTTTTTTTCCTTTCGATTTTGAAAATTTTTGCCTTTGGGTTTTTATATTTGGTATACTGCTTTTTTGCTGTTCTCTTCGATGATGTTCGTGGTTTTTGTTGTTTCACTGGTATTTTTGTGATTTCATCCGTATGTTGCTTGGTTGCTTGATCATTTTTTTTTGCCTATCTTCGATGGTTTGTGTGGGGGTATTTATACCCCCTCCGCCAGTGGTTGTTTCCGATCCTATCGGGGGTTGTTTCCCTCGTCCCCATTTTACTCGAGCCGACTTGTTCGTGATGGCCAGATATCCTGGGATGATTCAATCCCAGGTTGCTCCGATTTGCTCTACCCTGAAATCTCAGCCGGTTGCTGCGCGTGGCTTCCACGCGCCATTTGTGCAACACCCTTGCTAAGTTTGAAACTCTAATGTGGTTCAAGTCTCTTTATGGGCATGGTTTAGCGGTATACTGGGTTAAGCGGGTATGCTATTTGGATCTTAACTTCTTTGGACTTGATTTGGACTATGACCTTAATTTTGTTGGGACCATGGACTTTTACTATACCATTTGAACATGAAAATTAAAAAAAATAAAAAGAAAATGAATAATAATAAACTTAATATATATATATATATATTAAAAAACTATATAATATATTATATTTTCAAAATCATAATATGTTTTCAATATATATATATATTACATATGTCTTTCAAAAACTATGTATATTATATGTTTTCAAAACTATATAACAATATGTTTTAAAACTATACTATATATTTTCAAAAACTATATATTATGTGTTTTTATAACTATATAATATGTTTTCAAAAACTATACTATATGTTTTAAAACTATACTATATATTTTCAAAATCTATATATTATATGTTTTTTCTAAACTATATAACATGTTTTCAAAAACTATACTATATGTTTTTAAAAACTACACTATATATTTTCAAAAATCATATATTTTTTTTGACTAAACTATATATTATATATTATCATATATTCTATATACTATAAATATAAAAAATTATAAAGTCTCGGACGAAAATGAGTGTCTACAACTGCCCCTCTTTGCCCGTTATCATGCAACGAGAATAGAGCAAAGATAAAAGACACTATTTTCATTCACCACGGATGGGTTGCTGAGTCCAATATCCTCCATTGATGAGTTGAAATTCGACTTGAAGATTTAAGTTCGAAATAGCTCCCTGATATTGAATTACGGGTGACTCCTTTGTCGTGAAGTTAAGTCGACTTTGAAATGTCTTTGAGCACGATATCCTTCGTCATGAAGTTGAAATCGAGGTTGAACCCTTCAACGTGAAGTCGAGTTAATCTTGAATGTCTCGAGCATGATATCCTTTGTTGTGAAGTTGAAATCTAGTTCGATGCATGGGTTAGGCGAAGATTCCTTGCCATTAAGCGAAGATTCCTCGCCATTAAGCGAAGATTCCTCGCCATTAAGTTAAGATAAACCATAGTTAATTTTGGGTCTTCTTCTAGTCTAAAGTCCTTCATCGTGAAGATGAAATTTAACTAGACGACCTTAGTTGAGAAATAGTTCTTCGTCGTTGAGTTGAACTATGATGTAGATGACTCATTCACCGTGAAGTTGAGGCGATCTCTTGGGCACGATATTCATCGTCGTGAAGTTGAAATCGTAGGTGACTCATTCATTGTGAAGTTGAGTCCCAATAGAATGTTACCATATATTATTTTTTTGACAAAACTATATATTATATATTATCATATATTCTATATACTATAAATATAAAAATCATAAAGTCTCAGACGAAAATGAGTGTCTACAGCTGCCCTCTTTTCCCGTTGTCGTGCAACGAGAATAAGGCAAAGATAAAATACACTATTTTCATTCACCACGGATGGGTCGCTGAGTCCAATATCCTCCATTGATGAGTTGAAATTTGACTTGAAGATTTAAGTTCGAAGTAGCTCCCTGATATTATATTACGGGTGACTCCTTCGTCGTGAAGTTGAGTCGACTTTGAAATGTCTTTGAGCACGATATCCTTCGTCATGAAGTTGAAATCAAGGTTGATCCCTTCAACTTGAAGTCAAGTTAATCTTGAATTTATCGAGCATGATATCTTTCATTGTGAAGTTGAAATCTAGTTCGATGTCTGGGTTAGGCGAAAATTCCTCGCCATTAAGTTAATATAAACCATAGTTAATTTTGGGTCTTCTTCTAGTCTAATGTCCTTCATCGTGAAGATGAAATTTAACTAGACGAACTTAGTTAAGAAATAGTTCCTCGTCGTTGAGTTGAACTATGATGTAGATGACTCATTCACCATGAAGTTGAGTCGATCTCTTGGGCACGATATCCATCGTCGTGAAGTTGAAATTGTAGGTGACTCATTCGTTGTGAAGTTGAGTCCCAATATATTATTTTTCTGAGCCATATATCATTCGTTGTGAAGTTGATATCCAACTTGAATGTTCTTTTAGTTAAATATCATTCATTACAAAGTTGAAATTGACTCTTACAAGAAAAATCTGTAAAATTATGCATGCGTACGATGCTATGGATGTAATTTTCTTATGGATGCCTAAAATGCATATGAAAAATATGCTATTTTAGGACTTTAGAGAGAAATCTCAATCTCTTGTTGCCAGTCTTGATTTTTTTGATGTTTATTGATTCTTGCCAATCTTGATTTTCTGATTCTTGGTTATGGATTCTCTAATCTTTAGTAGATTTTGATCTGATACCCTCTTTGGGATTTTTATTTCATAAAGAAGTCTTAATTTTCTTTTGTCAATTTCGATTTGGATGTCTCATGATCTTTAATCAATGTCTTTCCTTGAACTAGAGCCCATGTCATTCTTTCGAGTATTGTGCAAGAAACTCTATCAGTTTCCAAGCACCATTATTTTTCAGGAAATCTTTGTGCAATAATACACAATTATCCTTTTCAAGGTGAATACATCATTCTTATTTAAATTCAATATAAGATGCTAGGAAATTGATTTCTCTCATATAAATGACAATATTTATTTAAGGGAAAAAATACATGGCAAACATTCTTAAAAAGAAGATATTCAGAAAAAATACAAATAGGCCCTAGATCCCGAAAATGTGGATGTCTTTGAACTGGAACACCGTTAGATAACTTTGAGTGTAGCTTTTGTCGATGGGATTCCAAAGGTTGTGACAATGTTCGGAAGAGTGCAAAATCCCTCCCAAATTATTAAGTCTCCGGAGACGTGGATGTCGTGATGCTTTATTGCTTTTATCGAGGACCTCCCCGTGAGCGAATCTCAGATCATTATCCAAGCCTCCCTTTCGAGTTTTCATCTTTGATCCTCCCTTGGTTTCAAGACACCTTTTGCGGGTTTTCATATTTGACCCACCCTTTTATTTTTATATTTCTTTTTGTTTCTTTGTTTTTTCTTTTTAAATTTAGAGCGCCCTTTTGGGTTTTCACTCTAAGCTTTTTTTTAATCTCCGACTTAATGCGCCTTTTCGGGTTTTCACCGTAAGTGAAACATCTTTTGACCGTATCAGAGTTAACAGGATTGGGTAGTTCGGGACCGTCTATTTCAGTCAAGATTAGTGCTCCTCCGAAGAAAGCCTTTTTTACGACATAAGGCCCTTCCCAATTCGACATCCACTTTCTTCTGAAGTCTTTTTGAATTGGTCAA